CCAGGCTGAATTGCATATTGAGACCCCGCCTCAAGAAAGCAGAAGTTTACTTTTATTGTCACGGGTTGAGGCAGCCTTCACTCTTACCACGTAAGTGGCAGCACATGTGATAGGGACTATTGATATTCAAACAGGCGTGGACATGTATTTGTTCAGAGGCAGGGTCCCCTATGCAGTTTGGGCTGGCCTTGCACTCTGCTTCCTCCTGTCTCAGCCTCCTGACAGCTGTGATTACAGGCGGGGACATTTAAACAAAAATTTAGCCCAGGGTCTCTGCTGCCTCTGGTACAGAAACCCTTTGCTCTCCCTCGATTGTACTTCTCCCCCAGGTCCTCACTTTCCGCTGCTGGAGTTGCTTCTGCTCCTCCTCTCATTTCTGATTCAAAATCTTCCTTTGCCATTTTCATCTCCTGGACCTGCCGCCTGGGCTGATTTAAGGATTTCCTTTGGTCACTTTGCAGCTGGACATGCTGTCCCTTCCCCGGCCAAGCCCAGCCCGGCGGCACACACCTGTAATCCTAGCATGGAGGAGAGGCTGAGGCAGGAGGATCTCTGTGAGTTCCAGGCCGGCCTGCAATACATAGAGAGACACTGTTTCAAAACACCAACACCAAAAAAACACCCACACCAACCATTAAGATCTGCGGGACGCGCAATCACAGGGAGGGCGAAGCTCTTATTTCTCCAGGAAGCTTTGCTGATTTTGGCCCCACACTGAGGGCCGACCCCAGGGCCTTCACACCCAACTATCGCCCGGAGGCCGTCTCGGTTTCATTTTGAGTCAGTGTCTTACTAGGTCACCAAGCTGCCCAGGACTGGAAGGAACGTGAGATGCTCCTGTCTCAGCCTTGGAGGGCGCTGAGATTGCAGTTGTGCCCCACCACGCCGCACTCTGGCGTGTGGTGGGGTAGGGGGCTGTGCAGCCACTGGCCCCGGAGAGTACCTCAGAGCTGTGCTGCGGAGAACTAAGCGTGGAGTCCAAGTACACTCCGTGGGAAATCGGCTAAGTCTTTTGCAAGGGTAAAACATATTTGAGCCCCGCCTGGTGTCTACGCGTGTAATCCCAACACTGGGGAGGCTGACACAGGAGGATCTCCAGTTAAAGGTCTACTTTGGCTACACAGTACACACGATGTTATCCTGAGCTACATAGCAATGCTACCTTTTTCAAGAAAGATTAAAAAACTGATGAAAAAGAAATGTATTTGATCTTTTCCCTTTTCCTGGCACAGAAATCCTGAAATCCCTCAGAATTTTCTCATTGGTAGGAGATGGAACCCAGGGACTTTGAACTGAGCTACCTCAGCAATCAGTTTTTTTGTTTTTGTTTTTACTTTGAGACAGGGTATTGCTGAATCTCCAGGTGGCCCAGACTGGGTTAGAGCTCGGGACCCTCCTGCCTCAGCTTCCCAGAGGGTTGGGATAACAGGCCTGTAGCATCTTGTCGGGTTTGAGACAGCCTTTCTTATGATCAGGATCACCTTCCCCACCTGAGCTTACAAAAAAGCAGTGTGCCGGGCAGGGCCGCTCAGACCGACCTGGGGTAGCGTGCATCGTGAGGGATTGGGCACATTCTGTGGGAACCCCAACAGTGAGGCCCCAGCCCACTCCTGCTGTCCTACAAGCGGCTCCGTGCCCCTCCCCTGCTGTGTGCTCTGCAAGAAACAGACAAGCGCCTGATGTGGTGGCGCACGCCTGTGATCCCAGCACTTGGGAGGCTGAAGCAGGAGGATCAAAGCGAGTTCGAGGCCAGCCTGAACTGCACAATGAGACCTTGTCTCAACCTCCCCCTGCCAAAAGAAACAGGCAAGTGACTTTTTCTTTTTTGTTTTGAGACAAGGTTTCACTATATAGCCCAGGCTGGCCTTGAACTAATGGTGATCCTCCTGTCTCAGCCTCCAGAGTGTTGGAAGCACAGGCAAGCACCACCACTCCTCATTTAACTTCACTCTTTTTTGTTTGTTTGTTTTTGTCTTTTTGAGACAGGCTCCTGCTATGCAGGTCAGGCTGGCCTTGAGCTCACTTTGTAGCCCAGGCTGGTCTCAAGCTTGCAACGATCCTCCTGCTTCAGCCTCCTGAGTGCTGGGATTACAGGCATGTGCCACCTTCCCCAGTAAAATCTGAAAACATGGTCTTTTGTTTTGTTTTGTTTTTACGGGGAATCAAACTCAGAACCCTGTGCTTGCCAGGCAGGCGCTTGTGCTGTTGAGCTATATCTCCAGCCTTCACTCACTCTTCAAACAGGAAATGTCACCCTCTTTGACCCTAAAACCCCTTAAGGGAAACATTCCTAATTTGTTCAGTGTACTGATCATTTCTTTTATCTGAGAGCAGGGGCTGAAATGAGGGCCTGCAGCTGGTGGGAGGGGCAGGCCCCGCCAGGGTCACCTGTGCTCAAAGATGCAGATGAACCCCATCCACTTTACTAGTTTGAGGTCACACGTGGTACTACTTATCTTTAAGATTTTTTCTTTCTTTTTTGTTTGTTTGTTTGTTTGTTTTCTTGAGACAGCGTCTGGCTAGGCAGTTCAGGGTGGCCTTGAACTATGCAGCGCAGGTTCGCCTGGAACTCAGCAGTTCGCCTGGAACTCAGCAGTCCTCCTACCTCAGCCTCCCAATTGCTGATATTACAGGTGTGTGCCCCATGGCCTGCACTTTAAGAACTGTAATAAGCATTTCTTTTTCATACCTGTCAGCAGAAGTGCCGGGGACATTAACCCTACTACTCCACCGAAACTGCCCTCAGCGCCTTCTATTTCCTTTCCTGTCTGTCTGTCGCGGCGCCCAGGCGGGAAGGGGGAGGCGATTACCACAGGGACGTCGGCGCCTTGCTGCGCGTCTTCCACCTCCACAGAACCGCAGAAGCCAAGCCCACGCCACAGAACCCACCCGAGACCACAGGGCACCCGAGGCAGGGGTGCGGGGAAGGCCAGGGTGCTATGCCCTACAGCAGGACCCGGGGACACGCCCAGTGCTGGCTGTAAGCCCTTACTCAGGAGGCTGAGGCAGGAGTGTCGATGTGAGCTCGAGGCCAGCCTGGGCTGCAGAGCGAAGGCCCTGAGTTCAAGCCCCAGTTCCGACAGAAAGAGAGAGAGAAGGAAGGAAGGAAGGAAGGGAGGGGGAGAGGGAAAGGGAAAAGGGGAAGAAAAGAACAACAGACAGCAGCCGTAAGTTATCACGGGCTAACGAGCATCTCAGTGTAGAGCGTCCACTCGCTGTGCGCTGTCCCGGGTGGCGTGGGGACACCACGAGTGTGACATTTACTGTACTGGATATTTGGGGGCTTTTGTTTAGCTGCTTTTTGTTTCTTTTGTGGTTCCAGGGCTGGAACCCAAGGCCACTCTTTCGCCTTCTGTTGTTTGTTTGCTTGTTTATTTGAGATAGGATCTCGCTATGTAGTCCAGACTAGCCGCCAGCTCGCAGTGACCCTTCTGTCTCAGCCTCCTGGGTGCTGGGATTATAGGCGTGCCACCACACCCAGCTTTAATCCTGTATTTTTGTCTGGGCGTGGTGACCCTCACCTGTAATGCCAGCAAAAGGCATGTATTTTTAATAGAGTAAGACTTTTTTTAAAAGATTTATGAGTTGGGGTTTAGCTCCATGGTCGAGTGGTTGTCTAGCATGGGCAAGGTTCTGTGTTCCACCCGCAGCACAATAAACAACCCAAATCTGAACTCAGTGAGGTGGCGAATTCCTCTACCCCAGCACCCTGGGAGGCTGAGGCAGGAAGACTGCATCTTCCGGCCCAATCTAGGCAATTTAGCCAAAATAAAAATGAAGGGCTGAGGATGAAGCTCAGCACAAAGGCCCTGGGCTCAATACACTGTATCGGAAAACAACAAACTATGAAGTCACCAAACCTACTTGGTTACTAGGAAAACTGCCCAGTTCTAAACTGAAGACCAGGTGAATCACAGGGCTCCCACACTCCCCAGTGCGCATGCGTACATGCCTAGCCTCCCGCTGCATGCTTCTACTTCCTGTGGAAACTGCTCCTCGGTGGGCGGAGCCAGCCCGCAGGGCACGTAAAAGCGTGAAGGTGCGCGCGCGCGCGCAGCCTCTGCAGTCCGCGGGAGGCAGAAGCTGGAGGGTCGCCAGGAGTTCCAAGCCAACCTGAACTACTTTGCGCTCCCCTGCCTTGAAAACCAAGGACCACCCAGAGCCGCACCCAGGTAAGCAGTGGCCGGTTGAGTGGGAGCCGCAGGCCCAGTGCTGCACTGCAGGGGTGGAGATCTCATTCTGCTTGGAAGCGTGGTGGGGACGCGGGGGGCGGGGGGGGGGACGAACTGGCTGCTTGGCCCTTCTACAGGGGCTTTAATTTCCCCAGGACAGACCGAGGCACAGTTTAAGCCTCTGTCATGCAGCTTCTGAGAGCAGCAAGCCTGTTGTGGTGGCGGGAGGCTGAGACAGGAGGGCCGCGGCAAGCTCCAGGCCAGCCTGGGATCAGTATCGAATTCATTTTTTTTTCTCCCGAGGAAGTGGGGGTTGAACCCAAAGCTTTCATGGTGAGCTGTATCACCACCCCCTTTTATTTTGATTTATTTAGTACCGGGAATCGAACTCAGGACCTTGCGCTTGCCAGTCAGGCGCTGTG